TACTTTATTCATACAAACATATTTGAAATGAAAAAAAGTTAACTATTTTATTTAAATAAAATATTCTAAAATAATAAATTAAATTTTTAAAATTTTTTAATTATCTCGTTCAAATTAAGATGCCAGATTAAATTGAGGTATTCTGAAGTATAACTTCGAATCCATCGTTGAAATATATTATGGCTATTCTTGAAATTTGAACATATCAAAATTAATCTTTACTCAGAATAAGTTACTGAGATGAGACGAATCACAAACACTCATAATGCGTGCCTCCACATATTTCAGCTGATGATTTTAGTTTCAAAGGCTTCGTATAAAATAAGGATGATAGGAAAAATAGAAATAAAAAAAATAAGAGAATAAAAATGTATTATTTAGATGAATTAAAAATATTTTTTATAGTCTTTTTATATAAAAAATAAAAAAATGTAAAATAATAATTTTTTTATATATATTTTTAGACTAAATTTTTATTTTAGTATCTGAAATAGTAAGTATTAAATATTTTAATTTTTAAAATTTTAAAAATGTTATATTAATCCTCAATTTTTTTTTATAGAGCATTTAAACCTTTAGATTTATAATATAATATATATTTTCATTTTATTTTAGTTTTTAAAGTTATTACCCGTCAGAATGTTTATTTTTTTAAATTATACTGACAGAAATTGTGATCCTTGTTCTTAAAACTCTTTATTTATCATATTTTTCTTTTTTATTTTTCATCACCGAAAATTATCATTGACTTTTGTTTAGTGTATGAAGTAAAATTTTTAAAAATATTAACTATTTAGTATCTGCTTATTTTGGCGTTGAAAACTTTGCTTTTTCAACGCATAATAATTTGGTTTTGGCTAAAACTACATAAAAAGTTTGCTTTTCTGCTGTCAATAATAATAATAAAAATCATATTTAAGCCTGGACACTGTGAAAATGACTTTATATCATTTTAACCAATCTCAACTAAATAAATAAACTAATTATTAAACCGATTCCATCATTAGTAAAGACCACGACAGATTATGCACAACCTAAAAGTTAGGTAAAAATTGAAGATACTGTCTTTATCTTATTGCTCGTGCTTGAATAATAATTCCAAGGCAACTTATGCAACTAGCAGTTTCCAAACAACAAAGGTTTAGGCAAAAATTAGGTAAATGTTTGTACCAAGGTTGATATCATGCTCCGGAATCTAACCAGTAGTGACCACCAACATTAAAATACTCCCGAATTTGTAAAACAATCATCCATTTTTTTAAGACGAGGGTAATCCAATGTCTCAAAAATCCACATCAAGAAAATGCAATCACTTTTCAACACATACATTCTTCAATAACTTTAATCGAGCAAGGAGCACAGCCTTCTATTTTTCAATACAATATTTGCACGAAGGTTTGGACATAAAAACTCTATCGTTGAAGCCCTTCGTCACTAACCCACTACTGACATTTAGATCAATTAATGATATAACTTCCATACCATGCATTTGACCCAATTTTCATCAGAGATAACGGTTTTAGAAAGTACAATCCTTCGTGCATCGACATGCTGCATTAATTTCATTAGAACTTAATCGAATTTGCTCTATCTGGTCTCTCCACAATTATGAAGGGTATCTTTAGATCCCGCTTAGTTTTTGTTATGCATTAATTTGTCTTACTGTGTACATGTTTTATTATGAAATTTGCGCCTAAAATTGATTTAAATACACATTGTAGTCTAATCTAACTTTTTAATATCAATTTCACTTAAACTAAAATAAACTAATTAATCTTTCGCGAAAAATGGGCAGCCCTATTTTATCTAAGGTGAGAGTAACATAGGACAGGTTGCTCAATTTCTTATCCATAATGGATCAACGACAACGACAGCTTAATTGATACTTACTTGAGTTGGTCATCGTACCCATTTGAGGCACGTATTGCACGGCAAAATTTATAATATTCTTTTCACGTATAATAAAATTACTTGTAGTGATCCACACGTAAGTAAAAAAAAAAAATGATATGACGGGTGATAAGAAGGAGTCAATTAAAAAGTCTTTAATTAATTATAACGAGAAGAATATAACATAACATCAATCTTTAAAATTAAATCTAATAAATAATTTCTATTTCAAAATATTGATTATATTGAACATAGACGAGTGTAATAAAATTTCAAAGCAATCTTAATGACTCGAGTAAGTTATAAAAACAAGTTATAACAAGGAAAGTAAAATGGAGTCACAAGCTAAAAAAGCTAAGCATCACGACTTATTATTATCATTATAACTTTATTGCAATCATTCCTGCACGTCAACTCAATTAGTTATTCTATGAACTCCTATGCAAGACGGAAGCAGAGTAAATTCTTCAAGAGCAGAAAAAGAATAATTACGTGAGTTGAAATGAGACGCCAAACGCCCGCAAGAATGGTTCTATCTACAAGCAACAAACAATACAAAAAAGCATTTCCTACTTTCAAATAAACTAAAGAAAGTATCCACACCCCAACACATTGATAAAACTAACACAATTTAATAGATGTAAGTAAACTAATTTCATAAATCATGGCAAGTAATTACTTAAAGTGATGCAAAACGTAAAATGTTTGATTAGATATACTCTTTTTTTAACTCACTTATGATTATGAATTAAGGTTTATTAAAAACGGTAAAAGTATGATACGAAAATATTAAAGTTAAGAATTAATATTGTGTTTTATAATCTTTAATAAATTTTATCAATGATTAATTGTATGATGAGAAGAGTGTGTTAAATGATATAGTGTTAATATTTTTTGTGTTTGATTTTTAATAAATTTTATCAATAAATTTTTGAAGCTGCTTAGAAACTCACAGCATATATTTTTTATATTAAAATACATGCTTTGTCTCTCTGAACATGTTCATATGTCTCCATTAGAATTAGTTGGGATTTGTACAAATTCAAATTTGGATTGTTCATGGACATGCTTTCTTACAACAGTGTGGTTCCTTTCAATCGATGCAAGCAACATAAAATAAGGTAAGTTCTTACAAAAACATCCTACAAGTTTGCAAGAGTTTCGGTAAAGTAATAGCAGGGGTGAAAATATATATGCATATCTAGCTTGGATAAGATTATCCTGTTTACAAAGAAGTGGCCAAGTCAATTTCTTTTCTGGTCAAAAGCTATGTCAGATTCTAAAATTACCTTCAATTGTCCTCCAGATATAAAGTAGCGTTGGCAAAAGGGCTCATTAGCCAAAAACAAAACTTAAGACCAACGCTCTGTACAGTAAATTACTTGGGACATGTTTAGGTTAACTTTTGGAAAATTATTTGTACGAATTAGTTAATTATAAACAATTTCATTTATTTATTATTTTTATTTTTATAAGTATTTTTACAAAAATTTACCTAAATTAAACTTTACTTACGTTACCGTGAAAAGTTTCATTCATTTCTTTTACAAATAATTCAAAAAATTAATTACTTATCTTTTATTATATTTTATTAATATATTGATACTATTAAATATTATATTTTTTCATAAAATTTTATCATACTTAATTTCTTACCGTGTGTAATTTTGTATAAATTAAAAAAAAAATCTGTCATGAAATAAGTATCGAATTCAGATTGGATGGGTTAATCTTACTTTAACAGTAAATAAATCTTGTATCAAACAGGCCAATCTAAATTTGTGGATTAGAATTAAAGTATTGAACTAGTTTAAAATAGGAAAATTTTTAATATAATTTTCAGTATGGGTGACATGAGATCAAAATACTTCGACGTAAGACTGTACTTCAATTAATTTTGAAAAAGCATGAAAAAAAGGCAAACAATGTAAATACAAAAGTATTAGAGTTTATATATATATATATATATATATATATATATTTAAATTTAGTATTTTCAAAAAATTATGAAAACATGAAATTTAAAAATTGTTAATAATAATTTTTAGAGTAGGTATCAAATAGAACAACAAAAAAATTATAAAATTCATCAATAATTATTTTGTTTAAAATATTAAAGAATTCACAAACAATTTTTTGTAGATTTTTAAAAAAATTTATATAATTTAATTTTTAATTTTTAAAAATCGCTAGGCTTTTGTTTTAAATTTGAAGAAAATGTTATTGATTTATTTGTTCCAAGTGCAGTTTTCGCACCTGATGACCAGAAGTTGTCCCCTGTCGTCTGTCTCTTGCTCATTGTCTTTCTTCAAAACAAAATACGGTGGTCCCCACCGCCCTTGGCTAAGGCAGTGCCCCTCCAAGCCTAGCGCCAACCCCCTTATCTGTTTCCAAGGACAAATTAGTCAATTCTCCACAAACCCTGCAACAAATAGAAAAACACCCATTTAGTAACAGCAATACTGATACAATAGTGCAGTGCAGCATCAGCAGTAGTAGTGCTTCTCCTCTTCCCTTCTCCTCTCGCCGACTAATCTCAATCCTTGGCCCCACACGCAATCACCACCACAATCCTTGTGTGTGCTTCCAACACACTTTTTTTATATTTCAAATTAAAAATTACAATTAAATACTTATAGTGTTATGATAAGGGTGTATATAAATTTTTAATAGTTTTTAATTCCTTAAAAGTAGTAATTATTATTTGTCTTGAAACAATTACATTTTTAATTACTAATTTAATGTAAAAATAATTAATTAATAGCAAACTGCTTACGCAGTCTAGAATAAATAGTCAAGATAATGTAAATTAAACTTTTTAATTAAAAGAATACACGTAGACGTAACGGATGCAAAATAGACGTTAGAAACTGGGAAATTACAACGTTGATCACGGAGGAACAGAGTTGGTGCAATCTGAGCCATAGATCAATGACCACCAAGATTGACGGTGTACAAGTGTCGGTGACTCATTGGTGATGCTCAATTGCTATAAAAAACACAATTCCTATTGTGGGACCCCCAACTTGTCTCTCTCTCTCTCTCTGATCTCTTATTGTATTTATAATTTTGTTTCCATGATGGGCAATGAGCAGAAAGCGTAAACTGTAGAAGGGGGCTAATGAACAGTGAATAATAGTGGCGGTAAAAAATAAAATAAAGAGTATATATATGGGTGTGCGTATTAAGATATAGATATAGATATGGTGGTGCAGTAGCTGTGGTGATTTGGCATTTTGTGGTTTTTGTTCGGTGCTTGTTGGTTGGTTGGTTTGTTGGTTGCGTTTGATGTTTACAAAGAGGAGCTAGCTTAGCTACTTTGGGCAAAAGAAACGCAGAGAGAGGTGGTAGAGGTGAACTCAGATTTTGGAGAGAGAAAGAAGAAAAAAGGGGTTTTATTTTTGACTCGGTTCTTCTCTGCTCCTTTTGTAGCATGGAATGATTGCTCTTACAGTTGATATTTGAGGCTGAAAGCGAGTGCTTCTTCTTTTCTCTTTTTTTGGCTCCTTAGACAAATAGTAAAAGCAACCAGAGAAGATTAATTCACGATATGAGAGTTCTGTTTTGGAGATGTTTTTTTGGTTGGTTCAGCATTCTTCTCGAATGAGGTATGCATTTTGGAAACTTCTAATTCCCACACACGCTGCATTTCAATCTTCAAACTTCAAATTAAAATAAGAAAAACACATTTTCCTTATTTATTTATTTTCCATTTCTCTTTTTTTTTTGTAGGTGTCAGTTTCGAGGTGAATTTTTTTCAACACCCAGATTAAATTGCATGCAACAGAAGCACAAGATGTTAACTTTATCATCATCTAGCCTTGCTACGCTCTGAAGGCATGTCAGAAAATATCCTTGTTTTGGTTTAAAAGAGGAGGAAAAGAAAAGAGCGTCGTTTCAAAATTTTCTAGGAAAATTCGGAAGAAGAAGTAAAAGGAGAATGGATTGTACTGAACAGTTGGAAATGCAAGAACCGAGTATCGAAACCGATAAGCTGAGCTACGAAATCTTCTCCATTCTCGAAAGCAAGTTCCTCTTCGGCTACGACGACCCTAAGCTCTGGTTCCCCAAGCACATACCACCCAAACCCGAGCTTCAGCAACCGGCCAACGACGCCGCCTTAGACGGCGTCTCCGCCGTCAAGAACCAGCGCGGCAAGATATGCATACTCGCCATCGACGGCGGCGGCATGCGCGGGATTCTCGCCGGAAAAGCCCTCGCCTACCTCGAAACCGCGCTTAAGAAGAAATCCGGCGACCAGAACGCCACCATCGCCGATTACTTCGACGTCGCCGCTGGCGCCGGCGTCGGAGGCATCTTTTCCGCTATGCTCTTCGCCACCAAGGACCAGAGCCGGCCGATTTTCGCCGCGGATGACACGTGGCGGCTCTTGGCAGAGCAAGGGAAGAAATTCTATCTTTCGGGTTCTGGCGCTGGCGATTCCGGCGGGCGCGGATTCCTGAGAAGATTTTTCGGCGGCGGAGGGTCCGGTTCGGTTGTGTCTTCGACGACGGGTTTGGAGAAAACCGTGAAGGAAGCGTTTACGACGGCGAACGGTCGAAATTTAACGTTGAAGGACACGCTTAAACCGGTTCTGATTCCGTGTTATGACTTATCGAGTACGGCGCCGTTTTTGTTCTCACGTGCGGACGCGTTGGAAACGGATAGCTTCGATTTTCGGTTGTGGGAGGTGTGTCGGGCGACTTCGGCCGAACCGGGTTTATTTGAACCGGTTCAAATGCGGTCCGTGGACGGCCAGACCCGGTGCGTGGCGGTGGATGGAGGCTTGGCCATGAGCAACCCAACCGGGGCAGCCATCACGCACGTGCTACACAACAAACAAGAGTTCCCGTTCGTGCGGGGCGTGGAGGACCTTCTCGTTCTGTCCCTTGGAACCGGTCAACTTTTGGAGGCCAGCTATGACTTTGACCATGTTAAACGCTGGAAGGCCAAGGATTGGGCCCGGCCCATGGCCCGCATTTCTGGTGACGGCTCCGCCGACCTCGTGGACCAGGCCGTCGCCATGGCTTTCGGCCACTGCCGGAGCACTAATTATGTCCGCATTCAGGTATGCTCTTTTTTTTAATTAATTTTCACATTCGTGTCATATTTTTATGTAATTATTATATTATAATAATAAAATTTAGATTAGTAAGGGTGGCAGGGGAATGTGAAAGGTTAATTTTTTTTGGATGGGTGTTTGTAAAATTGTCAATTGTCAATGTCAATTAAGGGGTGTATAAATGGAAAAAAGGAAAGTGCTGTGAATGGGTCTGGATGATTTTTTTCTTTTATGGTAACTGTTTGAGTTTGTGAATGCGGGGGTGAGAAACAGCTGATGTTGATTTGATAAACGTTAACGGGTATTTAATGAGTCAATTTCACACCAGCGGGAGGGTAGGGGTGTGGGGTTTTGCCATGGAGGATCTCTTGTGCGTTGTCTGTATTTAACAAGTTGATGAGCATGGGGTAGTCTAGGTGGATTTGGACTTGTTATGGGGAGTAGGCGATATCTGTTGATGGATGTTAATTAATGTTTTGTGCATTTTGTCCATTCAGAATGTGTATCATATTCAGGAAACCTTCCTATCCTTGATAAACTTGCTTTTGGTTCTCTGCCGCTGAAAATGGAATGGAATGGATGCAATTCTTGTTTTCCCAATGCAGGGACAAAGGGTAGTATTTGGCATTGCATAGCATTGAATTTCATTTTGTCAGTTGTATTAAATGGATGCCCAATTGAGGCTCTTTCTTGACTGTAGAGCCCTGTGTGCTAATGCACCTCTTTAGGTATAACTAATAAAGCCCATTCCAAATGGGTTGGGATTGTGATCTCCAAAAGTTATTGCTTTAATTGTGATTAATGTGTGAAGCTCATTCTTTCAATTTTAACCCTTCCTCAGATTAACATAATCTTACTGACACTTTCAACAGTATTTACTAGGATATTTGAGTTTCACATTATGGATGTTCTGAGCTCTTATTACATGACAGGCAAATGGGTCGAGTATGGGGCGATGTGGACCCAATGTGGATACAGATTCAAGTCCCAATAATGTAAAGATGCTGATTGGAATAGCAGAGGAGATGTTGAAGCAGGAGAATGTAGAGTCAGTGCTGTTTGGAGGAAAGAGGATTGGGGAGCAGAGTAACTTTGAGAAACTGGACTGGTTTGCAGGAGAACTTGTTCAGGAGCATCAGAGGAGGAGCTGCAGAATAGCTCCCACTGTTGCTTTCAAGCAAGCTACCCCAAAATCGACCTAGGTCATTTGCCAACAGTTCAAAGAATCAACCTAAAGATATAAAGGTAAGCACTCTTTTTTCATTAAAAAATTTTGTTGCCTCAATAATTTATAGGTGGCATCCTTTCAAAGAAAGCGTTTTAGTGGACCCGCTGAATAAATTACCAAAGGGAAGGCATCTTAATTAAAAAAGTGATGGATAATAAAATGATGGAAATACTATTCAGATGTTTTGTTTTTGTTTTTTTTATAATAAATCAAGAATGCCCAACACCGCTCAACTAATCCCATTTTCTAACATTTAATCAAATCACAAGCTTTTATGTCAATGTGCGACAATATAACATTGTTACATTTTTTTTTCTGTTTAGCCATGTCGTCCGTTTCTTGAAAGTGTGTTTACCCAATGAACTCCCGAATGTTTATATATATATATATATTCTAGGGAACCTTAGGTGATGGGGTAAAATGGGGAACAAAGTCTTTGGTAAATTTAATGGGAGGGGTATCAACGCCCCAACTTTGGATGTCTTGTAGTGAAATTTCATATGGGGTGCATCGTAACTACCACCATTGAATTTCATTGACTACTAAATATATAAAGAATTGTTATCAAGAACAGGTGCTGAATTTGTCAGCTTCTGTGTATGCATGGCCGTGAACTTGAGTAAGTTGTCTCCTTATTTGTTCAATGTAAATTATCAAATATTACAAGAAGCAGTTGGTGGTATAAAATGGAAAATGAAAGAACATAGGTGATGTCGGGCCACCGACAATAATTGTTAGTATTGGGAAAGGGCATTATGGTAAATTTATTTGGAAATGGGAAAAGTAGGGTGGGAATTTGGAAGATGTTATTAAGAGGGTATTTTGATCATAGAGAATGAGATCATGGCGGGGCACCCTTAAAAGTCTTTCCGTAGTCCTCAAAAGGTGCTTCTCATGTCATAGTGCCATGGCCGGTTGGTTTCATTAAAGAAATTGGGGTGGTTGACTATTAACTTTGCTCCTCAGGGTTAAACAAATTAAATTAAGCCACCTGCATGTGCCAGGGGCATTCATGTAATTTCATTGAAATTCTGATATTCACTAGTTTTAGGTCATACCTCTGTTCTTTTAGTGTCAGTGTCTTTGGTTGGGCATCCCTCATCTCTTTCGCAACCAAATATGGCAAGTCTTTAGGTCCTTGCATAAATGATTAGAGCCTAGTGCATCTTGTAAATTTGTTGATTACCATTCAAACCTCTTACATTTTATGCGTAATTTTATGGGAAATTAACTTTATTACATAAAGAAAAAAGAAATTGGTTTACCGGATTCGGAAGTCTTGACCATTAAGGGAACAACGAAATGGGGGACAACATCACAAGGCATGAGCTCTTGAGCAGATTTTCTTTTTTTTAAAAAAACAGAAAATAACTGAACAATTACTGCTCACATGTCCCCCTAAAAAAGAGAGAATGTTCACCACGAGCGCACAGAATCCCAAACATTTTCGCTTGTTTTATTTTTCAAGCTTTCCAATGATTATGCTTGCCAACCGCAATGCGGTTCTACGAAATAAATCTTGAGCATGTGATTCTTTCCATTTTGACCTTATTCTTCCAAGTATAAAGAATTTTGTGAATGGAAAAAATTCTCGTTTATCTCGTGCACTTGTTTGTATGTAAAAGATTTTGATGCCAAGTGATGATTCTTCTTTGTTTTGAATTTATTCTTTATGAAAAAAGAATTTCATATTGTAATTGTTATATGTCATGCAATTGCATGTAAAAGAATTTGATGTGAAGTTGTATTTGTTGCAGGCGAAAAAGGATATATAGGAGGCAAAAAAAAAAAGAAGAAGAGAGAAGCTAGAAGCTGGATTAAGGAAAAGAAAAGAAAGAAAAAAGGGGATAGTAGTAGTAGTAGTATAGCAGCTTTACTTTTGAAGATAGACAAAGAAGGATAGGGAGTGGAGTGAAAAGGACAAGTGGTGTAAAAAGGGTGGAAAATCTTTGTGGGATACTTTGCTCTCTATAGGACAGACATTGTGGTGTCCACTCTACCTTTCTATTAGGGTAAGAAACCAAGAAAGAAAAGCCAAGAGTCTGAGTTGAACCTTTTTAGGGTCAAACATGAATCAAGTGTGAATTTTTTATTTTAAAAATCAGAATTCAGGGTGGTAAATTGGATCACATTCTTCCATTCTACTTCTTTTTTTAAAGAATATTTTGTAAATCTCTTTTTTATATTACAAAGTTTCATCCCTGCTTCAAAGACACTTTGTAGGTGGTGGGGGCTACCTTTTTATTATAATTCTAAATATGTGCCCATACTTATCCCTGACTTCAGATTCATACCTATTGTTCTTTTCTTTTTCTTCATTTCTTAGCACGCTCAAGAAATTTATGTATAGCTTGGTACTGGATTTAAGGAATTAAGGGGGTGTTTGGTATTCAGATTTTTTAAAAAAAATTAATGTTGAAAATACATTTAGTATGTTTAAAATATTATTTTTAAAAATTAAGGAGATTTATTACACACGAAGTATGTGTGAGTAAAAAATAAAATTCATCAATTTTATATATAATTGAAAAACAATAATTGTATTACGTGACACTGTTATTTAAGTTGACTAAGCTGTAAAATTTTAAATATAATTTTCAATGATCTTCAGTTATAATAGAAAAATAATAATAGAAATTAGATAATATAAAATAAAAGTTTAGAACCCGAAATATTGAGAGAGAATAATTTTTTACATTGTAATTTCTTTTATCTTTATGATAAATTTAAATTTTTGTTCTTGCAAGAATGCTTTGCTGGAAAACTTAATAAAAAATATTTTTGAGAATGTTAGATTATAAAATAGGTTTAAAAATATTCACATTACAAATGTGAAAATATTACATTTACCATTTAAGATTTATGGGAAACTTAAAATAATCCTCCTGCAAACATATCCTAAAAGTAAACTTTTTTAATTAATATCATTAATACATGAAATGTTATGAATGATTTTTTTTTTTAATGTTGTGTCTCTATTTTATCCTTTAGGATTTTACTAATAACAAAGTATACTGATTAAAGAATCAACAAAAAGCATTTTTTTATTAAAAAGGATGATAAAAATTAAATATAGATAATAATTTTCATTAAAAAACAAGAAATAATTTATTAATCTTATATTTGCCTTTTGAAGTCAACATAGGGTATTGTTGTCGACGCTAGTGTCTGTATCAAGTGTGGTAGTTATTGAACAAGTAGCCGTTGTTCTCGGGGCTCTTTGCATTGTGCCACCTAACGAAGCGATTTGACTATTGCCAAGCAAGCGTTTTAGCACTTTGATTCATTAAATAGAAAGTGAGATTCACTTTGTTTGATAGATTTCATGTGATTTTCAACCAAATGTAAAGAGTGCATTGCATTGCACCACACATTCCTCACTCGAACATGAAAATCGTTATTGGTGATGGTTAGAAAAATATTAAAAGACCTGTTTTTGTTTTGATGGCTTGTTTTTAATTTAGTGTTAATCCTGTAAGAATTCTTTTATGGGTTTTTTTAAACCATGATGTTTTAAAGCCTCAATCAGAAATCTACCGTGAAACGAGAAACTTTTCTCTTCATTTGGCATTGGTAACAATAATGAGAAAGTTTACAGTGAAACGTTTACTGTTAATGTTATTACTTGCTTTCACTTATATCAAAACAGTGAAAATACATATAATAAGTTAACTGAATTGTTTTTTTTTTCTTTCTTCGAAATCAATATTCTTATATATGTATAGTTATGAATCTAACTTTCAAATCAGAACATGGTAGTTATTATGACTCTAAAGTGCCGATTATAGGATTTGAATTTCCAACATTGCATACGTTAAGTTTCTTTGAATCACGATTTACTTTCATTACTAGCAATTACTTTTGTGCATTTAGCATTTACTTTAATTATATTCGGTTAGCTTAAGAGAATGTTCGCCCCTTTGTAAACTCAAGAAAATTTATCAACTTCAACAAAAATTTAAAATAAAATTACACATCACCTACTAGAGGAAGGATTTTATATTATAATGTGAAATTTGGCTAGCATCTTGTTGAAATGTTCGATAAATTAAAAATCCTAATGGATTGGTTGATATTTTGACCATTGAAGGGTACATATTTTCATCTAAGATAAGCACAGTATGCGCTGCAAATATTCAAAAGTATTTATCCATTTGATGTACGATATTCAAATTTCTCATAAAGGAAGAGGAGACTTTAGGAGGAGAAAAGGCAACACATGTAAAGAAAAACAAATTAAAACATTAAAGTTCAAAGACATGTTTGAAATTATAGTGAAATTTTATTGTTTTAGTTTAAAAAAATACAAAATTCAAAGTCAAAATGTATTTTATTGAAACAAAATTGAATTAGACTGCAATTTATTTTTGAAATACTTAAGTTCATTTTTTTAAAAAATAAAACATCTTTTTAGTGTTTAGTCTTTAGATGTAAAAATAAATCAGTTGCTTTTTTAAAAAATCACATATTATTGTTATAATTGATACTATAATTATCATAGAAACTACTGTGTGTTCATTTTTTCAAAACTCCATTTATGAAGTCTGTGAATGAACAGTGTGGGTTTGTAGCAGTCAAAACTTTGTGCGACAATTGGATTAAAAGAGAAACAGAGAGTGAAATGATAAAAAGATGATCTGGTGGCCATTATCCCAACTTTTCATTCCCCGTAATTGAGGGTATGCCATGTTTTAACTTTTAGGAGCTTCTTGGGCCCTTCTACTTGTTGACATTTTCGTTTTTCTACACACAATTTACTTTAGAGATTTGTTATACTAGCTCGTAATAGTCTTTTATTTTTACTATTACACTGTTCATCTAATTATTTTTATTTTTTCATCTTTTTAATTTCTCCTTATTTTATGCTTACTTGGGGGTGGTTTTTACAAAGTTTAGTAACGATTGAAGTGCATTTTGAGAAGAAAAGGGTACCGTTAACCCAAACTAGGATTTGACAATGACAATGATCCATCAACGGGAGATTATAGGAAAACAACATATTCCATTTATAGACGTTAGAATGTCTTATATCAGTTAAACGACCAATTCTATATCCTAAGTAATCTGAATTCAAAATTCAAACTAAGAAAATGACGTTGACCAGCATATCTATTTATTCTTCCCCGTGAGAATTTTCAAAAATAAATCTAAGATAAGATATAATGAATGAATTAGGTCTTACTTTTTTACACTTGAAAACTTATTTATTTTATTCTTTTAATAAAATAACATATATTTTGATAAAAATCTCTAATTCATATTAATTTATATATGTTTCTAATTAATTATATTCAATAAATTGAAATTGATATCACTAAAATTATTTTTACCCAAATTTAAACTAAATATATATTTAATTGCTAAAAATTGAATTACATTACATATAGTTATCTATTGACTTCTATATTATAAATGAGATTATTTTATTTAGAAAATGAAAAATCAAGTGAGATTATTATTTTTCATAACTTATCATGTGTGTTTTTTTAAGATTAAATTTGTACATTTTTGCAGTAATAATTTTATTTTTTATTCAATTTTTTATTAATTTTATTCTAAATTTCAGAAATAAAAGTTGTTACTTAACTTTATCTTATTATTTTATAAAATTTTTTAATTTTTTTCAAATATGTTTATTTATATAAAATTCATAATACTTGATATTTTATTTATATATTTTAAAATAAAATATTTGTACATTATACATACTAGCTACTAACTAGTATGTTTATTAAATTAAGTTTTTAAATAAAAAATTAAATATATATTGTATAATTATTTTAAAATTCAATAAACTTAATAACTTTTAAAAAAATATTTTTAATTATTGATAATAAAGATGTTATCATATTAAATAAGATTAAATTAATGCAAAAGAAGTCATATGAATAAAATAATAAAAAATAACTCATACAAATCTAAAATGCGGTAGGGCGGTTTACAAATTTCATTTAATTGTTACT